AAAAAAAAAATAAAAAAAAAAAAAAAAAAAAAAAAAAAAAAAAAAAAAAAAAAAAAAAAAAAAAAAAAAAAAAAAAACAATGATAATGATTGAACCTACACCCATGAAAAATCATCACCATCTTCAATTTCAATAATAATAAGATGAGCGATTTCCTTTGCCATCATATTTTGTGTGTCTAAATTCATTTTTACTAAAAATTCAGTCTTGTAAGCCGTATTAGCTACACCGTCAGCACTTGTACTTTCTGTTATCTCTTGGATTTCATTTGCGACGAAGTCATCCACCTTGAGGTAATCAATTTCGATATATTCATCATTATCCGCTTGATCTGTTTCCTGGTTAAGCTTTTTTTTTTTACAACGATTCTTTTTGCATACACTACATGTTTTGTGATGCAAACCCTTCCAAACAAATTTTTCATCTGGACGAACAACGCCACAGCATGAGCATTTTCCCATTTTGTAAAATTGAACCTTAAACTATGTGATCTTTGGTATATTTAATCTTATTCTTGAACTAGAGTTATCACTTTGGCACGACATTCATGGTAAATAACATCAATATTTATATAATATGGCCAGATGTATGAAGCTAACTAATGGTAATTATATGCAGTAGGGCAAGAAAATAGATATGCCACTGCAGTAGAAAAAAATATGGGATTACGAATGTGTTTAGACATACGATTTTAAAGATTTTTCATTGTTTTAACAATGAAAAATCCCTTAAATCGCATAAATCTAGATGCTCTAGTAGGGCTTATCACTTTTGTCTTTTTTTTTTTTTTTTTTTTATTCACTATTTTAACTAATTATGGGTTTTAAAACCACTGATATTATTAGAACTAATATTTAAAATCATTTAGACATTTTCGATTGCATTAAAACTGATCATGGAAAAATTTGATCAAAAATGGCTCGTAATTGCATTAAAACAGGTTCGTGAAAAAAATAAAAATGAAGACAATGGTATGCTTTTTTTTTAATTTAAAATACAATGCCGCAAATTGTTTGATTTTATCGTCGTGAAGAATGTATTATTCAGCAATTTATTAGTGTTAAATGCTAAAAATGGAAGACATTAATTGATATATAAGCGAGATCATGATACACGATTACAAAAATAGAAAAAGTAGTTTTATTGTAAATATGAAAACGAAGAAATAACAATACAATACATAATAAAAAAAAACAAAAAAAAACAATACATTATTTAATAAAGTTCAATATTGTTACAATATATGAATAAAATAAAATATCAAAACAAAATACTTAATTCTACATTAATATATAAATAAATAAATAAATTGATATATAAACCTGACCTTTTTATCTTAAAGTTTTCTTAAAAACTTATAAGATCGAATTGCAAAAATTCCTTTCAAATTTCGATTGAATATTCAATATAATTACTATATATTTAATTCTAAATTAAAATTTTTTGAATTACTGTATTTTGCTGACTAAATCTAAACCCTGTAATGGGAATTTAATATTATCATTACAAGTAACTCTTGATATAAAAAACCTTTGATATAAGAAACCCTCGATATAAGAGATTTTGCAAGTCCCAATTAAAAATTTTATAATAAAAATCTCTTGATATAAGAAAATCTGATATAAGAAAGGTTTTAACTAACCCAGTAACTTTTTTATATCAAGATTTACTTGTATATTGGTGCAATTTCTCGTTTCTCCCACTTCGCGTTCCTTTTTTTCTTTTTGCTATAAAGAAAAAAAAAGTAACAGCACAGAAACTAAAAACTGATCAAATTGGTCTTTATACTATAATATATGAGTAGTTTTTCTTTTAAGAAAATGATATGGTTAGATAGTTATGGGCTTATAATGAAATAGAATATATGCTGCGGCAGTGATGTCGATCTGACATCGATCATCGATCCGGCGTCGATCATCGACCTGATATCGATCATCGACCAGTACTTTGGGGGGGCCGCCTGATATACTCCTAACCTTATACTGCAAAGTCTAAACCCAGACCACCCAGGTTAGTAATTGTCTACTACTTCTCTATTTAGACAAGCTTTGAACATAGTTACCTGTTATTTTAGTACTATGTCTAATAGATAAGTATAGCAGAGCTCTTTTAATTCTTTCCATATCTTATATATTTTCAAATTAGATCTTTAGAGATATTGTATTATATTTTAGCCCATGTACTAATAAGTTTAGTTGTCTGAGCTATATATATTTTTGCTCTTGCAAGATTTATATTTATTTTAGTATCTACAATTTAGCTTCTATTTTTACCACAGGCTCTCTATTAGTCTCCCTCTTGCTACTAACTATTTTCTAGAGAGGGTTAACTTTGATCTGGCTTTAGATGCCTTTTTTTGATACATAATTTTAAAATATATATCTTTTTTTTCTAATAATTTCATAGGTACCCTTCTTACTAAGAGTCTTGTATTACTTGATTTATTGATCTCTCTATATTTGGCCTTCATGTAGTACTGTTAAAAGTTAACACCAATCTTTGTTTAAGTTTTGTTAAACTAATTTCAAATCTTCAAGTCCTCTTTTAGTTTTTGGTATATTTCTAGAAGTTTTATCATGGGTTTGTACTATCTACACTGGTTTGCATTTCTCTATATAACTTAAATACTATATAGATGCTTTTAGAATCTTCTAGTATACAAAATATATTGATATAACTGGAGTTACAGGTCTTAGAACCCAACTTATTAATAAAGATCTGTTACTATAATACAAGAAGTTTTGTTCAAATTATTGCCAGTGAGATTTAAACTTAGTATCTTAGTTACAAGCTAGCTTGAAGGCAGGGTTGGCAATGAAGCTTAATAGAGCCTAATAGAGCTATGAATAGAGCCAATAGAGCTCTGAATAGAGCCAATAGATACTAGTTTTTTGAGCTCTATTTATGTAAACATTTAACTCTATTGGCTTCATTGCCAATTCTGCTTGGAGGTGCAACAACTTCACCACTTTACTATGTCACTACACCCTACCAAATACTATATTAATTTTAGTAAAAATTTTATTTAATTGAATAACTATAATAATTGTTAAAAATTTATAGTTAAAAGTTAATATGGGTGATCAAAAGTAGAAACCACCAAATTTTAATGGGGGTGTCTAATATCATAATTAATCAAAACTATGTTAACAAATTTGTAAATCCGCTAAGTGCAGATTTTTTGATATTGTACAAACATCAATTCTTACTAATCTATAAATTCGGCAATTCAATTGGTCCAAGATCATATGATAAATTTAATGTATTCGTAAAGCTTTATTAAAAATTTTTACAAGTTTATAACAATAATTGTGCGTAATGTAATTAAAGCCAAAATGTCAAGTTATATAAATGCATGAATATTTCTTTTGATTGAAAAAAAATAATAATAAATTATTATTAAGATAAATTTTGTTATCATTATTGATAATTAACATTTAATAAAAAGCACAGCAAATGTTTTATTTGCTTTGTCTTCTCCATATTGATTAGTTGCACTTGAAATTTTTCGTTTTTTATAAGCACATAATGTTTTCAATTCTTCTTTAGTACATTTACTAATAGAGACATTTGCAAGACGCATTTTAGACTCTTGAGTATTCTTTAACATATTTGGTTAAAGTATGGTGCCATAATTAGCCAATTATTACAATTATATTTATTACATATATTTTTACACAGAGTTTTTTAAAACCATAATTGTAATAATATTTATTAC